TTTTTCCCCTTGCGCGCTCGAATCTGATGTTGCTTTCGGGTGCCGTTGGGACAAGGATGTCACGTTCCACGTGAACCAATCACTCTTAGCCGCGGTGGCGCGGAGTCCGTTGCTGCAGACCGCGAGACCGCCAGCACCAGCGCCCGCGGACCTGCCTACCTGCCGGTCGCGCCCCAGTCCCGCTCTGGTTTCGTTTTAACGCCCATTTTTATTTTCGCCGTTTTAACGCATATTCTTTAGCAGACGATACCCGCGACGATACCTTAAAAACCTTTTGACTAAACATAAAGAACATATAAGTAACTTTAACACTAGAACTACCGGGATTTTCGTATACCTAGATCTACCGGAGGGGTCATTTTGACCCCTAAGTGGTATTCTGCCGTTTGAGCCGTTCAAAGACTGCGGTTTTGGTTACACAACTTCTTATTTTCGATATTTTTGACCCTTGATGCAGTATTTGGACCTACGGGGGTCCCTGTGTGGGGGTAGGTAGGCAACCCGCAAAGCAGGAAATGCAATTTTTCACAAGTTTGACAGATTTTTTCGCAATTTTTCGTTTTGTTTCGGGTAAATTGCATAGGATTACAATGAGAAACAATAATTCTCAACATTTCAGCATAGCCTGTGTTTATTTTAGGCTGACCAACAACCGTAAACACCGCAAATACGGTAAGTAATTCTGAAACTTTGGTTCTGCGAATAAATCAGTATACAAATATCATGCAATAACAGTCGTAATAGACCATTTATCAACCTTTTTAACCTTTGTTCGACCATGGAACGCGTTTTCAGGACGACAGAACCGTTGCGAATGCCTCACAAGTATTATGTAAGGAAAACATGATTTTATGGTGTGCGGGTTGCCTACCTATGCTGATAGAGGTTCAAAATTGTCACACGACCAAGCGGAAGTCAATACTTACCACACAGAACAACAATAGCAAGGTTTAAGTTCAAAAACCTCTCGTTAAAACCATCAAAGCCCTCGAAAACTAATACAGGGGGTCAAAATGACCCCTTCGGTAGAGCGAGGTATATGTTATAATATCTCCTAAAGTTATTGACGCACATGCCTGATTTTTCGTGTCAAAGCGTATTTTGGTGACCCATGAAAAGTCAAAAAGTGACGGGTCGTTAGAAAAAAATTTTGATAGTTCATTTGGCAATTTAAAATCAAAAGGGGTCATTTTGACCCCTCCGGTAGTTCTAGTGTTAAGGTGTCAGCTTGCTTTTACTCTCTATAAGGACAGTGAACCAAGCGGAGACCAGAAAACAATTTATTTGGCGCTATAGGGGAATCAGTGAGTGAGTGGCTGTACGAGTGTCGCGCTTCAGGCTTCAGGCCCCTTCCCCTACAGGGCAGGGGGCAGGCCCCGTCCCTGTTCAACAGTACCAGGTGGCTGATTCACGCTGCGCACTTCTGTAATTATTATACTGTACCGCATGCACGAGTGCGGGCGGGCTCGCCTATCGCCCCTGTCCACGGCGCCTTGCGGGCCGATCGAATAGGCAACCCGCCCGCACTCGTTCATGCGGTACAGCATAACTACAGAAGTGCGCAGAGTGAATCAGCCACCTTACTAGGCCACCGACTCCGGCCGCTCTGCTCTGCCCCGCCCTTATCTCATCAACGCCGCTAGTACACCAAATTACAAAATTGGAAGTAAAAACATGCATGCATATGCCATGCACATGCAGCCATAAAGAAGTGACACCTCACCTAAATATGAGAGAAAATTAGAAAACATGCCTATTCTTAAATTTGTGTATCATCTGCTTTCAAGATAGATTCTTGATATATTTTTATGGGATCCCGCCCGACGACTTGGTGGCGCCCCGCGATCTGGCCTGCCATGGCAGCAGCCGCCGAGTGCGGCGCGCTCACGCGCTGCTTACGTCAGACCCACAACACCCCCGTGACCGCGGTGGCGTCCGATGCGCGTGGGAGTGCGCGGTGCTGCGCGGGGCGGCGCGTTGCGTGCGCCGGGACAGGACACTCCTCCCGGGCCAGCCAGGCTCCGCACTAACCCGCTGGCTCTGCGACGTTGGTCGTGTCGAGGAGGAGGGTGGAGGGAGGAGGACGTGGACCAGCCAAGACACGGCGCGCGACGCGGGGGGAGCGCACCTTAGCAGGTGAGGCGAGGAAGCGGAGAGGAGGGGAGGGGGCGTGGGAATCTCGTGCTCCTCGCTGACATGCGGCGTTATGCACAGAACTCCCGCTCCTTATACTTTCTTTTCCACGTTTTCTTTGAAAAAAAAGGCCAGGCTCGTGCAATTATGTAATCTTGTGGAGTGTGGACGTGTCAGCTGTTTAAGATGGCTCCCGCATTGTGTACTGCAACTGCACCCGATTAGGGTGCTGGCTGAAGGGGTCATCCGGAAAGTACGCCCGTCGCTTAGCGTCAGGAATCTGCCAACTTCGGCCAGAGCAGTAAGCTCCAGAGCGCCTGCTAGGTAGGCAACAGCGTGTCTGCAGTGCATGCGTGTACTGCGGGATGGCCTACCCCGAATATCGCAGGCGCCGAGCTTCCGCGTATTTTGCCGTTTGAATCTGAGACATATCGGACGTTTTAGCCGCGGGTCCATCTGACACAGCATACCCCCAGAGGGACGCTTGAAGTTTACCGCAGTAACCTCATGAAATAAAGAGATTTGTAATCTTTGATCCCGACCTTTCTAATACGAATAACTGAACAATGTGGTACGCCTAAGAACGGCTATTCTGCAAACCATTTGTAACACCAAAATGGCCGGTTCGGGTTCTAATAACAGTGTCTAGTCAGTTCGCCGCCACTTTACACGCCTTTCTCCTTCGAGTCGGCGGTACTTCGAGGTGGCGGGGCGTAGCGGGCGAGCAGTGGGACCTGCCTCACAACATCACGCGCGAGAGCGACGCGAGAGCGTGCTCCACGATCAGGCGAACCTGTCCAAATCAAAAGTTTCCCACCGCTCTGCCGCGCCCTGCGGCCGGTCACCCAGTTCGGCGTCCATCAAATTGTTGAGTGTCCAGTCCACCATCAACGCGCTCCCCCTCCCCCTAATCTTCCCCTCTGAACAGGCTGCTGATCAGAGTGGAAAGCGGTGCTGCGCGCGGACCTTGCGGAAGCACTCAGGGTTATTCACAATAAAGGAAACGATCGCGTTCTCGCCTGCCAGGCAGCCAGTGGGTTATATGCAGCGAGTAGCAGCGAGGGGAAATACAAGAGGGGTTGACACTAGCGTCGTCGCATCCTATGGGATCGTCTAGGAGGTACGTCCGTTTTCCTTTTCCCCTTCGATCTATGCGTCATGTTACGGGAGCCAGGCGCCTGCGAGACTTGGGGTAGGCCACCCAGCAGTACACGCATGCACGGCAGACAAGATGTTGCCTATCTATCAGGCGCCATGAGAGCTGCAGAAGCCGAGCTGGGCAGTTCCGTACCCTGCCTCACCGCGCCGCGACTGTTCACCCAGCGCCATTGGCTGATGCGAAATTCATTAACGGACTGAGCGAGCTGGCTGCACCGCCGGGCTGCGCCTAACGGGGCCGGCCAGTGCTGCCGCGGGCTGGAGCTACTGCGGCGGCCGCAATCGCAATCGGAGACGAATCGGAACGCGGCCCAAGCCTGCCCCCTCTAGCCCCAACAAGCAGGGCGGCGCGGTACCGCCGCGGGGTCGCAGGTGAACCACCGCCGCCGCGTTCCTGTGAGGTGGACTACTGGATGCAATGGCCATCCACATTACAGCAGCTTACGCGTTCCCGGACGAGGAGGGCCCCGCCCCGCCCCGCCCGCCCCGTCCTGGGCATGTGTTTAGACAGGCCGGGAGATGCAGCGTGCGCGCAGCGCACAGCGGACGTCCCGGCTTTATCAAACATCGCCTTAGTTTTGCTCGGCCCGAGAGAAAGTGGGACTTGCATGGGCCGGGCTGGCCTCTGGCTGGCCTCGCACTGTCCTGACGCGCCCCTCCAAGGTCGCGTACATCAGCACCCGCTGCAGCACCTCCCGGCCGCTGACAGCAGCCCCTGACGGCGACGGCGACGGCGCACAGGCCAGGAGAGGCTTCTCGACTTGTCGGACAGGACTTGCGACAGCTGCCCTCCTCCCACAGGGTGTTAGTCGAGGGCTCAGCCCGCCCGACAGGAGGACGCGGAGTTTCTTCACCGCCGTCCTGTGCCGCGTCCGAGGCCGCGTCCGTCCGCCCCTGGGGGTAAGAGTGCGGCTCTGTGCAGCTCCTCGCCTTTTGTTTTGCTCGACGTCACACGGTGCGCCCGTGACCAGCAGGCGGCACCACCCGCCCCCGCCCCACGCTGGTCACCGCCCTGGGCCACAACAACCTGCACTGCCAATCATTTGCTGTCCTGTAAATGTAACTATTATACTTTTCGATAATAATCTGCATTAGATCGAGTACATTACACGGACCGGCAACTCTTCAATGAGCTGCAGCACAGAATGGGCCGGCAGGGTGCATTTGTGGCAATTTTCGCCTACATTATCAGGCCACACTGTGTCCTGTAACTTCTCGAAACCCATTTTCGCAAAATGTCAAGGTGCAGCAGTCACGAAACTGGGGACAGAAGTACGGGCAATGTCCTTAACAAGCGTGCTCCTATTACTCCCAGGTTTTTGTAGGGGAGAGCTAGGGCTATAGACCGCTGCACTTTGACCTTTGGTAAGAATGGGCTTCCTGGAGGCTCCAGACAGACACCCTGTCTCTCTATCGTGCGTTGCTGTGGCTAATCGAACAGATCTTAGTCCGTGAAGTACAATGTCGCAGTGGCCTCCTCCTCCCTGCCGGACGCGGGCATGCCCCTGCTGCTGCTCCTGCTCGAGCGCTTTCTCCCCGAGGCCCTGGCCCTAGGCCGCCGTCGCCACGCTAGACCACCTCGTCGGGCCACGCGGCGCGGGTCGAGAGGGGGAGGACTATCCCGCGGGACGCAGCCTGCGCGCGCAGCAAGCGCAGCTGCTGGCCAATCTGCTCTGTTCGCTGGGCTGGGACATTTTCGGGACGAACGACGAACGGAACCGCTTTCGCTAACGAGGAGCCGACGACGTGGGACCTGGCCGGGCACCATTAAGGCCTGCACGCCAGCCGGCCCTTCCCCGTCACGGGCCACTTGCTCCTCTTGTTGCGGATCCACACCCCGCGCCTCGTTAATTTAATTTTGTACGTGCTGAGGAACATTGTAGGCGAGGACATGATTACGTGATTACACCTGCCTGAGGCCGCAGTACCGATGGTCCAAGGTTCTCTAATATTATTTCGCTCGTTCTCGTGGCGGGTGAATGCAGGTTTAAGTCCGGCCTGATCGTCGTTCATTATTATTTTCAGGCGCCCATCTTAGTTAACTTGGGCGATCAATTATTATCATTTCTCGATAAGTGCGGTGCTGGGGTTTGTCTGGGTTGGAGTTGAGGGTTGGGTGTATTAATAAAATCTCCCTCCAGGAGACGGGTGAGACAGAGGGGGCTGAAGGCGCGGCATGCGAATAGTTACCCGGGGTTAACCTCAGGGGAGACGACGGGCATGATGAGGGGGTGTGGAGGGAGAGGGCGGAAACCAGACAAGTGCTACACATAAAGTACACGCGGCGTGCAAACCGGGCGCCAAAGTTCGCGCACGCGACCTTCGCCTCCCTCCCTTCCACTCTCGTACTCTCGTGCACATGCAGTGCAATGCTGCCGCGAGGGAATGAGATGTCCATCACAAGACCGACCCCCCCCCCCCTTTCCTCTTTTTCCGAGGGTAAAGTATTGCTTTTCTTATATCCAGCAGACTGATTCCGAATAGAGCGCTCAAGGGGTGCTGCCCCATGAGTGCGACAAGGACGGAGCTATACGGAAGGTATAGGAGAGTGCTCTTCGGAACCAGTCGGCAGTCCCTGGGCTCTGCTCGTTCTGCTCTGTTCGAGGGGAGGAACGACACCACTGAGCGATCACCCGCGGGGCCCTGGCGGCCTTCTGGCGGCCCTCTGGCGGCCCTTTGGCGGCCCTCTGGCGGCCCTTAGCCGGGGCGCTGCGCACGCACTTCCGTATCCGAACGGGGAGCGACCGACAGTGACACTCGGAGCCACGCGCCGACGCGCCGAGCCGAGGGAGCAGTTCCAAGTCCACGCCGACGGCAGTCCTCGGGCATCACCATCCAGCTCTCTATGGCGAGGGCGGATCCAGACGCTGAATAACAAACGCAGACTTGCCCTTATCATTCTTCTCGCCCCGCCCCTTTTTGGTTTGCGGAGCGTCTCTCTAGAAACCTCAACGCTGACGTGGCCCGAGGCGCTGCAGAACTGCGATAGGCTCACAACCCTTTCGCACGCACAGGGGGGGGGGGGTGCTCTACAGACCTGATAGATCTGCGGGACTTCTCCATTGACCCTCTCCCTCAGTTTAAGGCACGTATGGTAGCATGCAATGCAATGCATCTCTCAGGATAGACGGGATATGCCACGGCGTCCTCGGGGATCTCGCAGGGAAGTCCCCGCGGTCCTCGGCCAATGCCTCCCCCCGGCGCGCTCCGCACTGCGGTGCCGGGCGGGAGGGGGGGGAGGGGGTGCTGGGCCCCGGCCTCCTGGGCTGTCCCGGGGGCCGATCGATCCAGCCCGTGATCCAGCCCCTGTCCGGGCGGCCTCCGGTGTCCTCCGGCCCGAGCCGCCGCCGCGAAGGCTATGGCCGCCGTGCCGCCGTGCATCGCCCCAAACTGTTTGTTGATGTTGACACACTTGTCCCCCCCCCCCCTCCCAGACCATGGATGAAGTATAATCTATGGTTGAGACGCGGTGGTCGCTACCAGTCGATGCTACTACACTTAGTGTGCATCATGGTGAACGGTTTTGGGTCGTACTTTTAAAACTAAATGCAATTGGACCACATGTTTTTAACCTTTTTTGTTCAACTTTTTTCCGCATTTAATTATTTCTTTAATTCATAAATATTTTTTTAAAGTTTCCCCCCTCACATTTTGGTACCGATCAGCTGTTTTGAGGGTAGTGAAGTGGCCGGGCGCGAGCAGGCGGCGAACGTGGTGGTAATAAGTTGGATAGGATGTGTTCGCTCACACAATTACAACTATATTACTGTGACTCATTCTATGGCGTGTAAGAAATTGGCTCGGGCCCGAGAGACCGTTTCACGGCTAGCGTGAGGTGTGGTGCGTTTAAGCCAGTTGAGACGGTGCAGTTGCATATACAGCAGTGCCAGAAAAGAGGACGAAGTCGTGACCAGGGGCACGGCATCGGATGCAAGTATGAATGAATGTGAACAAAAAACACTAGTCGTAGGCCAGAGGGACCGTCATCAGCTCACCTCAAAAGTCAAGAGAACGCCCACAACCCCCTCGCACCTGTGTCCACGCACTGAGCGGGCGCACAGTGCCGGTGGGCGACTCCGGCGACCGCCTCACCCCCACCCCTTCCATCCCTGTCGATCCTTGGATTCCCTGGTTGCCAGGCAACTCGTCAACAACATCACTGCCGTAAGAGAAATACATACATACATGTTACGGCATGTTTTCCTGATCATACCGACTCGTGCAGTGCATTTGTTGAAATTTAGTTAACAAAAAATTACATAATGAGCTTTTAATAAGGATCTGACGTACTCTTTTCGCTTCTTTCATTAGGTTTTTTTGAATTTACCGCCGTATGAGAAATCTAACTGCTAAAGATTGTGCTGTCTGCTGTTTGTTTTTCCTGTTGCCCTGTTGTTCTATTTTTCTATTTTTGTTGTTTGTTTCAAACACCTGTTGAGTTGAGATAATTTTCACTGGCTTATGTTTGTTTTTGGATAAAGCTCCAGTGTTTGTTAAACAATTATTTGTAAAAGTATGAGTTAATATTACTTGTTACTTATTCGCTTGGCATAACGCTTGAGGTAAATGCTGTGATACTATGGTTAACTTTCATTAAGTTCTTAAAACTGAAATTTTTATATTGTAAATGTTCCTTTTGTTGTTCAGTTTATTTTGCAAATACACAATTGTCACAGTTCAAAATACAATGGTTTTCTGTCTGCCATTGTATTTTTGAAAAAAATAATTTCTGACAGCCTTATAGTTGGCCTGACCCGTATAATATGTGCATCTTTCAATTTTTCAGGTTTGGGAGGAGTTTGGTAAAAAAAAATGGACACTGATCCAGGCATTCTGTGCTTTCAACACTGTGGACCTGTCAATATATTTTGTTTTGAACTACCTCTTCAATGTCCAGTGTGTGGAGCTCCTCTTGCCACTGTCAATTTCCGATTGCTCCCTTTTCGGTAAATAAAAATATGCTAGTTGTTAAAATAGGCTAGTTGTTAAAATAGGCTAGTTGTTAAAATAGGCTAGTTTTTATGACAAAAGTGAGAAGTGAAAACACCAGAGACCCTTTAGAAAGTCAAACACTTTTTTTGGTACCTATTTTCATGCTATGCAAGCAATCTTTGCCTTTTACTTCACCAAAACAAATAGTGATTCTAGGGGTTTCTTGTTCTTCCATTGCTCTGTTGCTAATTAAATTCCGATCAAACATTTATTCTGATATCCCAATTCTTCCTTAAATTAGTCTTAAATTTCTTTAAAATCTTTTTTTGCAGTGTTCCTTATCCTTTTGTACGAGCAACACAGCACCCATGCTCTATTGTCATAAAGCCCACAACAGGGGACTTTCTCAAGTAAGTTGAAATCTTAATCACCGAAGTCTTAGTTGCCTGTTATCTCGTGGTACTAATCACTTTTATAATTTCCAGTGACTATTTCAATTCAAAAGATCTGCACATAGGTGTAACTGATTCCAAAGGGATGGTTGTGGAGTTTGACCGTGGTGGTCTTCAGTGTGCAGATGCTCAACTTTGGAAACAATGTTTAGTCTTGGACGGAGCAGCAGGCCCATGGAGTGATCACTGGGATGGTACTTTATCAAATGTAGCACAACAAGATTGTTGGACATCTGAGAGGTGCGATAGAGGATTTTATGTTTGAGGGTATTACATATGTGATGTGGCTTTGTTTTCTATCTATTAACATTTGCTTCCTTTTTATCTAGGTACAATGAAGCTGATTTCAACTGTTACACATTTGTATTGTCATTTTTGCGCAGCCTTAGATATGGCCGCCTCAGTGAAGCGGCTGACAACCGCACTGAGTTCTGTGAAAAATTCATTATTCCACGTACAACAGCAGCTGGAAAGTACATTTCCCTGTTCAGAAAGTTAAGACAAAGTCAAAACCAATGTTATGTTTATAAAATGCAGCAATCCACTTTGGGAGCAGGCTCTCCTGTTGCTATCACTGCCAGATGACTGCACTTCTCTAAATGTTATTATAATTTCATTATTTTAAATGCATAGCATACTTTTTCTTAGATATACTAGATGTTGTTTTGGAACTGTATTTTAAGCTCTTACCACTTTTGAAATTGTTTGAATTACTTGGATGTTCCTAGAAAATATTTTTATGAAATGTGTAAATATAAGTAAAGTGCAAAACGAAAGGGTATCATTGTTCCCTTACCTGACCAATCTTGCAGATACAAGTTGTTGAGAGAGTAGGTTTAAAACTTTTTATCACATTTTATTTTTTTTAATACATTTTCATTTCAAATAATGTAAAGGGAAAACAACAATGTCAGGTACAACTAAAAAGGGCAGATGAAATATTTCTGATCCTTCCCCACCACAACCAAAATAACAAATGCTCTTAAGCAGTCCTACAATTACCTACATCTTCTAAATTTGCATGAGCAAAATACTATTGAATGAGTTAACTTTGATTTGTAAAATGCTATGGCTTATTAAATTCTTTGGCAATTTACAATATGCCAACATTATGTTGAATATTACACACTAGGGAAGCATAATCAACAATAATCAATTTTGTTTGTAGAAACAGTGATTGTAAAATGATTACAGACCATGAAAATCTCTTACATGCTCTAAAGAAGTGACATGTTTTTAACAAATGCACACACTACTGGAACAGAGTTAATATGGAATTTGGTTTTGATAGTACTGAATCATATCATAAGTACGAGTTCTAAAATTAAGGAATGAATTTTTGATGACAGAGAGCATGTATGCAGCAGCCTCTTTGTCTGTTGCTTGATGAGCAAATCTACCCCTTAAAAGCTTCAGAGTCTGTCCGCGGAAACAAGGAAGGCCTGTCTCTGACATGAGGCAGACTAAAGATATTATTGCTTCTTGATATGGCCTATAAAGTTAAAAAGAAAATTAAATTATCTAAAGAAAATTACAAAAATACAAATTTGCACATTGAAGAAATGTATGAGTGAAGATTCACCTGACTGCAAGGTATGCCTGAACACAGAGTTCCATAAACCATCTGAAGGGAGCAGCTTCCATTTTGCCACCCATCACCATAACCATTTCATCTGTTAGCTTTATGTCAGGCTCAAATCCAATATTTCCTCCAGGAGAGCTTTCAAACATGAAGCCAAAGTCTGAAAATAACAGGAAATTTTGATGCTTGTTAAACTAAATAAATAATTTCATATGTAAATGACTAGTGCGATGATAACTGGAGCCTCACCAATATGAATTATATGACCGTCTGTGTCAAGCATAATGTTTCCATTGTGCCTATCTTTTATTTGAAGTAAGAAACCTATAACACTGTAAGCTGCCATTGACTTGATAAAATTGCGACGAGCATTCTAAAATTTTAAAATGAAGGCATTACTAAAATCGGAAAACATACTAAATGGTATAAAACAGAGAGATAGATGAACTCACCAAAAATTCGCTTGTGTTTTCATCCCCATATTTCTTAATAAAATACTCATACATTCCAAAATCTGTTTGGCGGCCTAACTGATCCCTAGATTTGGCATTTGGCACACATTCAATTACGCCACACTGCAGAGGAAGAAAACCAGTTCTAAATGATTGCAGTACAAAAGTACTGTTAACTGTAATAAAACATAATGGAAACTTACGCCCGGGGCAGTAGCAACAACTCGATACGGGAACAAATAAAGATCCAATCCAACTTGTTGGAACACATTTTTGAATATTCCAATAACCTGTAGAGCCAACATATCCTGTCGTACATCATCACCAACCTGTAAGAGGAATAGAACACTTTATTCTAGTCCAGGTGCACTTTTCTCTCAGGAGTCGCATGAGTACAAATAAACTTTTCTCCATTTAGACGGTGCAAAGTAGAGAAATAAAGAGGACATACCTTGAAGATTGCAGCCTGCCACATTTCTACACCAGTCCCAACATTCAATTCTTTGCTACCTTCATCCTCTTTCTCAGATACAGCCATGGCAAGGGACTCCAATTGTTTAATTCCACATCGTCGCACTCTGAATCTTGCTAGATAAGGAGCCTTAGCAGCACTGTGAAGAAAGAAAGTTTAAATTAGATAAGAAATGTAACTTAACAATCAATTTACAAACAACATTGCTGAAATACATTTACCTTTGCATAGGCGTGCCACTTTTATAATCAATATCAAGAACCATTGCTTCAGGATTAGAGGGAAGATAGCAACCAGCTTGGACTTTTATTTTTTCTAAGGCTTCAAGGCATGCACGTTTTCTTTCTGCTCCCTTTGGATAGGGCCGAATTTGGCCAGAGATATCAGTTATTTTTGAGAAGAAATCAAACTCCCTTTCATAAAATTGTTTTGCGGGTCCAGACAGTGTTTCAACAATGCTATTAATGATTCCTTCCAATGTATCAAACAGTATAGCTGAGGAATTTACAAAGAAATATTTAAACAGCATTATTCCAAATTTAAAAATAACAACAGAATTACACTAGAGTGGGTAACTACATACGATCTTTACACTGCATTTCCTCATCAGTGTACATGTTTGTGAGCATATTCCAGATAAGTTGATGACCAACAACTTGGGACTTCTTTGCAATATACTTTATGAACTCAATAACATATCCCATCTATAAAAGTTTAAGCACACAGTTATTAGTAATGAAAAGAAAAGGGGTTGATGTTGCTTTTAAATTTGAAAACTAAAGATAGATGTACCCACCGTATCATGCCTTACTGCTTGAACTAGTTGAGGAATGTAAAACAAGACAGCATCAGGTGGATAACTCTTCAGAACCCTAACAGCATACTGAGCTGTAATAGGATGAGGTGGATATTGTCTGGAGAAGTATGCTAAAGCTTGCACAGGGGTCACTCTAGCCCATGACAACATGTAAACAAGCTGGAAAAGAGAGACAGTGGAATACAAAATCCATGCAAAAAATTAACAATAAAACTGATAAAAGACTGTTGATTTTCTACAATCTATTGTTGAACTGGAATTAGACAATATTACTCACCTCTGGTATGTCATTCAATAAGTTATCAGATGTGACAAGGTATTGAATGGAATGAGGAACTTTTGAGACAACAATAGGATTAAGGCGAATATGACGGGAAACCTCATCAATTATGCTTTCAGTGTTTTTCAGTCTATGGAGAAAGACATATGATAAGGAGAATGGTAACATGTAAAATATGAGAAAGCCTCCAGTAAGTAACTGATAGCTAAGAGCAAGGAAACATGAGACGTTTTTACCTCACAGGTAAGAAAACTGCAAGCTCGGGACTTATATCCCAAGCAAGGCGAGCATTATCCCTCCAAGTCCTATCAGCCACTGTTTTTGCACGGCGTGCAGCAATATTATCCTCTCCAGGGATTTGGAGTTCAGGGCGACTGCTTGGATTATGCCAGATTAAAAGGAATTCAATTTCCACAGCCTAAGAGAGTTGAAATAAAAAGTATAGTATGCATTTTCCATGACCAGACTAAATATTAAATAATGTAAAGGTATCAGAGGAAGTAACTACCAGTAGTTCAAGAATAAGATTTCTTTTCTTTGTATATTCTTTAACATATACATCTGCGTTTACTGGCCGTTTAGACCTGGCTGTTGAGGATCGTTTGCTCAAAGTGTTCTGGGATGATGAGAGGGGAACAGTGTTAATCCAACCTCGAGATGGTGTAGGTCCTAATTCACCAACAAATCCTCCACTTGAAGTTCGCATTTCTACAGTCTGGCGTAAGGACTGATGAGGTCCATACAAATCCAAGTCTGAAATAAAAGAGTTCTCCTCATATAATAAAGGTTCATGACAACAAAATGCATATGGGTCATAATCATAGCAATTTTAAGTCAATACCTCCAACAACACTTGACTTCCAATACTTTTTATCAGAACGCATATTTTCCCAAAAACGGATGAGAACCAAAATATCTTCTCGAAGATCAGGGCCATTTTGAGGGCAACGAGGTAAGCAACAAAAGTAATCTAAGCAGCAGCAGTAAATACGTTCTCTGAGAACATTTTTGCTCAGTGATTTGGGAAGAATGTCACCCTGAAGCAGAGATAGTCCACACAGAAGTAATCTAAAACAAAGGGTAGAAAAATGGGAATTTAAAAGAAAATTTAAAAAATATTATACGTATTAGATTATGATCACACTACACACAATTCCTCGCCCCCATATTTTAGCAATTTTTGGCCTTAAACTAATACATCTTTTGGCACATCTTTCCCTGAAATCATACAGAATCTAATCTAATAAACCAACCTGAAACGAACTCCCACAGCTGCTACATGCCTATTTATGTGGTTTTCATGATTACCAACAGTCATTGGCAAGGATCGATGCAGTAATGAGGCCAACATTTCGACCTTCTCTTGACTGTTGTATTTTGCTGTTTCAACAAGTTCTGATAGAAACTGTAAAAATGAATTTCAAAGACAGTCAGATGTAAAATCCATGGAGAATCTGGAACACAACTATACCCAATCAAAGACGAGAAAACACACCTGCACCCAAATATTATGAGGCTTCACAAAAGGTGGTTTAGGCCCCAGATTGGAACCTTCATGAGCCGCTAAAGGGCTCACCTCTTCCTCCTCGACTGAAAATAGTCCAAGTTTCTTGTCAATAGTGCACTGAAAAACATGAAAAGCAATTGAACCTAGTTTCTCCAAATGAATGTAGTTCATAATTAATTTGGAAACAAAAGTGACAATAATTTACCTGCCATGCAGCTAACATTTCTTGTAAAAAACGTAATTCCAAATCTGGTCTAGATGTTAACAGCCACCGCCAGCATTCCACAGCAGTGGTCATTGTAACATCAGTAAAGAGGCCAACTTGAGACCAGGCCACAACATGCAATAACTTTCGACACAAACCTGTATAGAACCCCAACAGTTATCACAATTTGGGAGAATCAATACAGTACTATGAACTTAAGGAAATATATTTACCAGGAGTTGAAACCAACATAGCTGTTGTTCTCCACAGTGCACTACGATGATCTTGACTGTTTTGGCTGCGGCATGATTTCCACACATTTTCTATGAGATCTTCAATTAAAGCATTGCGATCAACATGAGGACCAGCAGTCATAAGGCCAGCTACCTCGCCTGCATATCTACTGCGTAGTGATAATGAAGACATAACTCGAGCCGAATCAGCTGTTACACACCGCGGACGTTTGTTCAAGGTACCTGAACCAAGAGGAGCTGACTGAATGTTGAGCCCTGTATATTTTAGAACACTCTCGGCAGCAAGAGCTAATCCTGAATGATGCCACATTCCTGATGAGGGAACTTGATTAAGGTAATCCTGCAGGTGACTTCGCGTCTGTTGTGGAGCCCACTTCATAGCAACTTCTGCTATTCCTTGACATCTTTCAGCAAAGTCTTTTACAATCTGTTCACGGGCTTCTAGGGTCTCCATAAGGGGAAGAGAGTAGGGTGTTCCAGGTACTGACAGAGTGGGAGTCTCTTCGTTAGGATCAAGCTCCAGAGAGTAACTCAGCACTTGCAGAATATCCAACATACTCCAGAGAACTCTGCAGTTCCAAAGCAAATGAGGAAACTTGTCTACCAAACCAGACAAATGTTTATCAGCAACACGTCGAATTTGTTTATGAACATGATTAAAATTAATGAGAAGAAACTGTGCATGATTTTCAAGTTCTCTTTCACGGTTCTCATCTTTTGGCTTATTTGACATAACTTCTAGAAAAGAGGAGAATACTCTGTCACCAACACTGCAAATACATTGCCAGATTCCTGATTTATCTTTCTGAAGACCAGCATCACTCAAATATTCATAGATAGGCTGAAGGCTTGGTTCATTTGATGTCTGCACTCGCATTGTTTCCAGCCAATATACTGACAGTAAGTATGTGCTCTGTGCAAAAGTCAGCTTATTCACATAAGCAGTAACTTCAGTGGGGTGCTCTAACAAAGACAAAATGTTTGACTTTAATTCCTGGAGCTCAGTGGGAGAAACACTATCATTTCGTACTGCTGAGGTGTATTGCAGCTCCCGCATGTCTGATCTGCTCGAGGACTGAGACACCAAGTATGGAGATTTCACTGCAATCTCTTTCACCCCGTCGTACCACTCGGGAGGCCAGAGTCCTGAAGGAGAGGGACAATATTAGTGCAACACGCAACAAACTGCTGGAAAATCTTAAGACGAGCATTGTCAAGTACCTGAGTCCACTGCAGTAAAGCCCATTACAACACAGTACAGCCAAAAATCTCTGAAAAGTTTGTGAAGGCGTGCTTTTGGCTGGCGAATGGGAGGGAGGCGACGAACTAACACAGCAATGACAGGAATCAGCACACCAAGATTTCCCGCACTGGCTGATGCCTGCAAACAGTAAAAAGAGATAAGAAAAGTTTTTAAAAACAACAACTACCTTGAATGAAACATCAAATTTTAACACTGTACATGCAAATCCCCCATTGGTATGAAATCTATTGAATATACCTTAAGAGCAGCAGGAGCTTTCTCACTGGCACGTTTGCCTTCCAGTCCCAGCTGTACAAACAGTTCCAAAAGCTTTACAAGGAGCTCATTCATGTTGGCCTCTCCTTGAAGATTAGCTGCAATATTTGCTAATGCATTTACGACAGCACCAGATACATGCCTGAACAGAGATTCATCTTTAGGACACATAAAGTATGTAAACAGTGAAATTAATTTGGTCATGGAGGAGTATTCTATAAACTATGAAAAAAAAGAAAAAGATTGTACCTGTACTGGTTGTTTTTGCCATCCATATAAGCTGCTGAGCTGGCTTCAACGGTGATCTCTTTAAACATTGGCAATATCTTTTCATAAACTTGAGGCTAGGAAAAAAAAAATAGCCAATGGAAAACTAATGGTAAATATTTCCTTTTATATTCTTCTAATGCGTAAATACACAATGGACTTACTTTGGATATGCTCATACAGCCAAGCTGATCAACAATAAGAATATCTAAGGGAGATGGTACACGGCAGAACCTCTCTTGAAAAAACTGGAGAATTGTATCGGTTGTTTTTGGAGTGTCTTTTAGAGCTACCGCAACATGTCCCAGCATTATGACAATATTTGTTGAGATCAAAGAGGACTCGCTGAAAGAAAACAACTACATTGAAAAAGCAGTATGGTATGTACCTCCTACATGTGGACAACAGGATGTTATGCAAATAAATAATTAATTATATACTTCCTGCACCTCTCAGAATTCTCAGCTGTAAAAAGTCTGTTTGACAGAGAAGCAACCAAGGCACGAACAGTGTCTGCATCATTCACATGAGATGCTTCAAGTGCAATACATAGATTTTCTATAGCTGCATCTCTTAGTTTTTCAAATGCTGCTTGAGTAGAGCTCACAGTACGTGCATCACCAATACCATCCAATTCTTTTCCTTGAACTAAATTTAAAGGGAAAAAAATGTTTGACAATTATACACTAATAATAAAAAGAAGTTAAACTAGTTATTTTGTGATAACCAAACTACCTACTCATAACTTTGTAAGGTTGATTTTTACGGGCCACAGTATTTCCAGCTGATTGTTGATACAGCTTTGTAATAATAGGAGATGGCTTCACCAAAAAGTCACGCAATGCCATAATTGATGTACTGGCAATATTAGGAAATTTCTGGGCTAATTTACCAAGTCCCTGGAGACCATAAAAATAGTTAAGAACAAGATAAAATAAATAAATAAATAAAAATAATTAATTTTTAAGTAGTTTCTTACCTCCAAACAAACCATAAGTAAAGGCATATGAGCTAAAACCAATTTATGCCCATGATTAGAATTTATTTTCTCTGTTAGGCGACCACACAAACTATCTGCTCCTGCAGAATAGAAAGATAGATAGATAGATATTATAATAACGTTTTTACAACTTAACAGAGCAGGAAATGAGACAACTAGCTACTTACCAGTTTCATCACCAATTGCCCAGACTAACAGATCAACACAAGCTGAATTCGCCATTACATTCACTTTAAATTTGTTAACAGTTGAAAAATTGGTTTCGCGATCCTCTCTCTCACTAGCATCATGATTGCGACCCTGCAGTTCTGTCTGACCAGACAAGAACAAACCTTTCACAAACTCTTGAACATCTCTTGTAAATGGGGATGGTAAATCTACTTTGGAAAGAAAAGGGATTAGAGCAATAGTTTTTTGTCTGGAAACAATATAATAAAACTATTATATTATCTCAAGTGGACACCTTTCTGGTGCTGTAGAAGTTCGCGAAGTAATGTGACCATGACCAAATTTAGAGTTTCGCTAAAAGATCTGTAGGGAAATATATGAAGCAAGCCACATTCATACATCCCTGCAGCTTCAGAATCAAGATATGACAACATTTCCTTTGTCAACAACTTTTTAGCAAGCTGCAATATTGTCTGTTTGAAAATAAATGGTTTAAGATTAGATTCAACTCAATTGAATATATAATACTTTCCTTTGAACAAAATAAATAAAGCAAAAAAATATTCGTTCATACTTTCAAATGATCAAGTGAAAACTGAAGCTGGGCTCTCTTCTCTGGTGATTCTGAGAACCTCATGTTGGGAAATTGGTTAAAGCTTGAACCAAATTTGCAAAAGAAGAAGGTAGTTGGATCATAAGGAACAGATTGCTGACTTTGCACGGATGCTCGTTTCACACCTGCAGTTGAGCTGGTAAATAATAATAAATATTAAAACCCAACAATCTCTAATGTCCTGCTGGTAACTAAAATACCTACCTGATTTCTGAAGAATCCATGTTGAGCGCATCAACAGCATGTGGGTTGAAACTTCCAGAAAGTGACCGAGGAATAATGGACCTTTTAAAAAATATTCAACAGTACATGTTCTTTATGAGAATAGAAATGGGGTGTTGATAATATAAAGTACATTTAAAAGAAATGGTACCTGAAGTTAGAGAAACTCCTTTTCTTATCTGCTTTACAACTCTCTGAATTAGACATATTGCTAGTGTTTGTAGGTGGAGTGGGACGAGGGAAGAGGCGACATAAGAGAGGTGGATCATTTGTGCAAAACCTTCCCATTGACCTTGCAAGACCAATAAGTGCGGGTACTGTTGACTGACAGAGAATAACTGAAACAAAACAAAGGTCACATAAATTCTCTTCTCAGTGAAAGAAAAATCATCCACTTGCTGAATGACAATTTAAACAGAATGTTTACTAACATTTGGAGCTGCTGACTGATGAATCACTCTTTCCTTTCCATGTGATGCACTGGTTTACCAGTGCATGAAGAAGTTGAACCTGGGCAGCAATTATTTTACCGCGGGAACTCTCACATTTTGTAGCCACATCAGTTAGGAGTGTGTTCAAGCAAAAACTAAATCGTTCAGACACTGGGACTCCTAAGTAACACATTATGAATGAATAATTGGTGCATGAACGCATTTTACATTAATAAAATTTCAACATATTTCTTTAAATTCAAAGCTTGAGAAGTACTCACTCTCATTGTGGCAGGTGCGAACTTCATCAGGCCATTCAGCTTTTGGCAAACCACCAAGGAGGCGGAGAAGGTATGGTAAAATCCGTTCCTGATGATAGAGCTTTGATTCGAGGAGATAGATGCCCAGAGCTATAACAGCTTCTTGAGCCCTCTGATCCATTCGGAAGACACCTCGCTCGTCTTCTTGGGGGCACAATTGATACAAAATGTTGACCTGCACAAGTGTCAAAGAAGCAACAGACATCTGGGGTTAGGAGTGGTTCACTAGTTTTAAGGGATGTGTGTTAACACGACGACGAAAGTTCGACATAATCAACTTATTTTTATTTTAAGAATACCTTTTGCCATGGTGCTTTGTTTACTGCTGCTAAACAACGGGCCAAGTGTTGAACTGTTTTTCTGAAAAACAGCTTCTCATCCACAGTCATCTTGGGGTGTGTTAAGCGCGAATTAAGTGTAAACGCTGAGGAGAAAATGTAATTGCTATCAATAACCCATCAATAAAATTATGTTACTTTCGAATGGGCATGACAGGATATGTAAATCAGAGAATTCGTATTCAATCATGTTAAAGCTTTCTGTGATTATCGACTGACACCCATGCTAGCAGACGTCACCTTCCCCCTCCACCCCTCCTCCACCCCTCCCGAGCGTTCGACACAAGGCAGATACCATCGCGACTACGGTGGCGGGCATTTCAAATGGTATCTATGGAATGTTTGCATTCATGCATTCATGACGGTTTCTGTATGTTTCATACAGCGAGTATCTAAAAATGAAGAAACACGTGAAAAGAAGTAAATAATTGAGTTAAAGATAAATCTTTACACACGCCAGTTTTCCTTATAATTTCCTCCTCCCGTGCACGTGAGGCTGAGCCCCGTTCCCTCATTCCCTACCCCACCCGCTACCCCCTCTCACCTGTCGGTTCCGAGGTAAACCATGGGTAAACGCATTCCGTGGAACTTGTTGTGTTGAAATAAACAAATGAATGTTTTAGGGCGTTGAGCTTCACCTGTACAGGTGTCAGGGGGTGTGAAGAGCTCATGAAGTTTTTGTAGCTCGATTTAAGGTAAGTGCTGTTTCTTTTCGTCTTTTTTTTTTTATATCGTCAATCTATCCGTAATGTGCCATATGTACGTGTTTTAAACTGGGTACCTGTGACACCTGGATAACCTTGCGACGTACTCATCATGACGGCACGGGTACCTACCCATTTCGTCTCTATAAGTTGGTGATTTTTACCTATTTTCCTTTTCTAACACTTACAGATGGAATCAAATCACTCACCTCAACTTGAAGCAGGTGAATCAGCTGCAGCTGCCCCTGTACCTCTCAACACTCACAAAGTTGCTCCCCAAGAAAGTTCACCCAAACCTGGAGGTTGGGTCAAGTTTGAGGATGAATCTGGCTCAAATAAAATTGAAGAAGTGGTAGCTGCTGATGGCTCAGCAACTACCCCTAAGCGAGTAGTCAGACCTCGTCCTGAAGACTTCAGCCCTGTACCAGATCAAGAAAATGCTAATAGAACAAACCAGGCGGCAGTTGCAGCTGTCATAAATGCAGAGACAACTCATGTTAATGTTAGCCGCAGTAGCGTAAGCCGGTCACCTGCCAAACCTGTAGATACAAAAGTTGACTTGCACACTGTGAATTTACGTGAAACTAATGGAACTACCTCTGTAAATACCACTGTTGGCACAATACGTCAAGGCTTTGGTATGTTTCCACTTTTTTTAAATTTACCTCGGACCCAAAGTTATTTACTTCCTTGGTACATTTTTAAAGTAATATTTTAATTGCTTTCCGTTTTAGCAAACGGTGACATCATAGTGACCCTGCTCCCAGTGAACACAAGATTCCCTTGGATTACACCTGCACAATTTCGACCAGAATTGGTCCCTGAAGAACTAATGGCTCAAGGCCTAACAGTATGTCTTCATTAATATGAAAATTTTCAATTTTGTAGGAGGCAATTCTACTTCTTACAAACATTAAAATTACTGATGTCTGTTTTTGTGTTTGTTTCAGTTGACAGTTGAAGATTATGTTCACATCATGGAATTGCTTACCAATGATGTACGATTTCATGCTTACAACATATGCTATAAGCGTATTTTGGTTGTATGGATTTTAACAGCTTTCATTGTTTTGTTGTCTCTGCTTTTCTCTGGTGTCACGGGTCTTACTCTGTTTGGACTTGGAGTCATGTGGCTTGTTCTAAATGCTGCTGCAATATTTTTGTGTATGTGGGTAAAGATAAAGCTAAATTACAATTTGGAACGCTGTATGGCAGCTGTAAACAAGAATTTACTTCGTCACAAAATAATATTGGGGCTCGACGACAGAGGGAAATTGTCATGTCATAAAGTGAATTTATGCTTCATATACTTCGATACTACTGACTGCATTGTGAGTTTTTCCATCTTCTGCAGTTTTTCAAACAATCCTATCAGTGTCCTTGTAAATTGTAACTGTTGTGAATTTCTTCAGAAAAAATTGCAAGAGGTAATTGAAAAAGAAGAGCGTGAAGGTCGTCCTGTGAACCGAGAGGAAACAACAGAGGAGCGTAGGCAAAGACTGCAATTTCAGCAAAGGATGGATATTGAGGACAATGATATCATCATTCAAGGCAGCCAAACAACAAGAGTCTCGAGGAAACAGGTACTGTAAAACATCTCCTGAGTAAACTGGATTTTCAGCTGCTCTTCAAAAAGGTTAAAAATTTTCAGCTCAACAGGATTACTGTTATTAACTTTTTCTGGGGGATGGGTGTACAAGTAGAGGCTGTGTGATAAACATTATCTATCTACCTGTCTCTCTCTGTCTGTCTGTTTGCTGATTCAGTTATATTTTGAAACTGATCAGAAGTTTCATTCACATCTGTTTTCTCCTCAGTAGTACTCTTGATGACTTGATACATATACACATTTGCCTTTTGCCCACTTTTCTCTTCGTTGTCCCAGTACTCTATAATCTATAGGCCACCTCTCTCCACTTCTACCCCAGCTCACCTCCCCCATCCCCATGCCTATCAGGGTGAACATCTTTAACCCTTAATTTAACTGATTTTAAGTGCATTTGTGCAACACAAATCTTGATTGAGCATTCAGAGATGCTGTGGTAACAAGGTCAAAACAACCACACAAAGAGTAACAAAATTTGCTCTAACATTTTTTGAACACGATCAAAAATGGATCGTCTTAATTTTAAATTTAGGTAGCAGTATAGCGTTAAAAGGTGGGCACCCTACGAGGCATGTGAGGAAATGGTAGGAGAGGTCTATTAATGATTGGAATGCAAATACAAAAAATTGATTATCTTGTATTTCTTCTATGACTTTTTTCCATCTACATCTTATCTCTTCCTGGGACTACCCACTTCAATTTAAAACATACCTAATTAGCAAGTTTTTCATTCAGAGCATGAATAATTATGAGCTAATGATAGACCTGATCCTACCTTTGATAAAAAAAATAATAGATGTATTACAAGTTTTGCTTTAGTGTTTTTGCCAGTTCAAACTCGAAGCTTTAAGTAGACTGGTTTGTATTTTGTCTGTTGGTGGCCTTACACTTGCAGTGTTTCTGCTTTGTACCAAGTGCCATTTTGCTAAATGTTTTTCACTTGATTTGTGATTTGTGTGGGGAGATGCAGTGCCGTTCATCAAATGAACTTCATTGTTATGATGTCTTCAATGCTGTGTGATGAGCAAAAGAGGGCTAGACAAATGGATACATCAAGTGTAGGGCCACCTTATTAGAGACTCCTCAAGTATATTTCAGGTTGTTTCTCTTGTGGAACTATAACACTGGCTTATCAAAGTTCTGCTGCTTGTAAGGTTTATTTGGGTGGAAAGGAGGCAAATTAGAAATTTAGAAATTATGTGTAGAACTTGCCAAGACTTGTTCTAGACTGTCTCTTTTTAAAATAAATAACTTTTTGATATTTTAAAAGTTTTTATCTCCTTTCTACCCAACGCTTTGCAAGATGCAGTTTTTGTGGTGTGGCATGCGGTGAAATGTGAATTGGGTGGCGCAGGAACGAGGTGAACAGTTGCTGGCACGGTACATTCAACGCTGGAGTAAGGATTTTCTGCGTCGGCGGTTGGACTGGACAGTGGATGAGGCTGGTGGCAACCCCATGAATCCACGTCATCTGAATTCTGCTCAATGCCCATGTCAGTTTATTGAGGAACATCTGCAGAACAAGCCCAGACATGACTCCCGAGCTTGCTGCCCTTGCTGGAGTGCCTGGCTTCAAGAAAGGGGAATTAGCTAAGCGGCATTTTGTATTAATGATAATATGTATTTTTATTTGTTGCATTTGCTGTGTACCGAAACTAAATATGGTGTTCAAATTTTAGGGTAATTTCACATAGTGGCTGACCTGTAATATGAGACTTTAAGAATCAGCTAGTCACGCATGCCTGTCAGTAATTAATATTTTTTAAAGCAGGGTCGCTTTTAGCTTATGGTTGACAATTGGTGGTGGTGACTGTTTCTAGCTATTGGAAATTCCCTGTCTTCTGAAGAAGTATTCTGTCTTTGTCTAAGCGCAGTTATTAACAGGAAGCTTTTATGTGGGGAATGTTTACAATGGGTGGAGGCAATATGTGCAGCTTTCTAAGGTGGTGGGTTGTGTTGCATGCAGGAACGTGCAGAGTTGGTGCTCCTCCGCTACTCATCCCGATGGGTGAAACAACTCGTGAGGCGTCGCCTGGACCTGTCCGTGGATGTCTCGGAGAGAACTGGTGCAACTTTCCCTCCACCTCCTCCTCGTCACTGTGCAACATCGCGCTGCCCGTGCCAGTTCATTGAGGAACATCTCAAGTATAAACCCAGAGGCAAGTTAACACTACGACAGCTCTGCTATCTACCTGATTTTTAGTATCTTAATTCCCGAGTTGAAATCCTGGTTCTATTCCTTTTGGAAATTGACATTTTGTACAGGGAAGGCTAGTAATACCAAGTATGATTGAAAGTATCAAACATGAGCATTCCATATCTTCCATTCCCATAAGTTATCTTATCCTTACAAAACTTTCCCCCTTTGTTCACAATGCATGAACAAACTTTACTTCTTATTGAAGGATTAGGGAACAAATTCTATTATAAACATTAATAATATTTTAAACTTCATCAAAATTTCATCTGTGCATGTTTTTTGTTCTGTGTATGTAAATGTTTGTCCAAACACATTTATCTGTTAAGTTTATATGTACCACCTGGGCATTGCTTGTAAATTCTAACAGTGGGAAACAAGTGCTTGTCTGCCCAAAGCTCTAATTAATTAGATTCATCTTCATTGACAAATCCCATGCCATTTGGATTGTTCCAAATAATTTTAATATCCCTGGTTAGAAAACCATCTTAATTTTTTTTTAAATCAAGTTTTATAGCTGCTCTTCTGAATTTTACTGTCTCTTTCGTCTTAGACAAGACTTCCCAAAACATTAACTTTTTGACTGCAACATTGGTAGTTTTGTTTTAAAATGTTAATTATACAGACTGCGACTTCCATTGAAACTGTGTGCCTTATCTATTTTATAAGGACTTATCATTTAATATCTTTCTTCAAAAAAATTTAATGGCTTGAATTCCTAAATCCATTTAATTATATTTTCTTCTACTAGTTACCTTTGACTTTTGACAAACTGTAACTTTCCAGAAGTATTTGTGATAAATTAAATACTCCCTCCATGTGTCATTTTTCATAGAAGTATGTTGTTTGTGCCATTGAAAATCTTGCCTTTTGAGTGTTACTGTGGATAGTAACATTTCTATCTAATTAGATGAGAGATGAGGTCTTTTGGGAATCGCATTAGTTTATTGTATTTAGTTCTGTACTTTTAAATTAGGACAATTCTAGTGTTCTTTAAGAGTGTAAACCATGAGACGAGTTTTCTGAAGCATAGCTTAGTTTTTTGGCTCGTCACCTCTGCACACGTACTTTATTGATAGCCCCAAGGAACTTGCTAAGAATCATTTTACTTTTTTTTCTTTTTTTTTTCTTTTGTTCGGGAGGAATTAACTAAATAGCATTCAAAAGAAACCAGAAGTATTACTTTATGCTTTATGCTTACTGTTGGTACCATGTTGGAGTCGCATGTGGTATTTCAGGTGGTGGGGCTTTGGAATATGATTTTGTGGTCACCTTTCTACTGTCACTTGTGATCTGTCACATGTAGGGTTGCATTAAAGTCATGAATTACATTAAGATGGAGTTAAATTAAATTTTGGACTTTGTCAGAAGAACATGCTTATGGTTTGTGGAGATAATTTTTCACTGCGGAATTCCATGAAATGATCTCTGCAAGCCCTAGAATTTGATACCAGTGGTCCTTGCCGCTTGGATGAATAGCAAGCTTTCATATTGTGATGATATGCACCATATTCAGTTGGTAGTACTTAAACAGCAAAAGCAATGGAATGAATTGCGCTGCTTGTATCTCATTATTTTGCTAGTTTGTCTCAAAGGATCTGTGTTGAACTTTACTCATAATCTCAGCAATCCAGAATATTTGAAATAAATTTACCAGGGTACCTGATTTCTAAGCTAGTATTAGCAATGTTAATTCTGGTATATTGTAGAGCATCCCCTTCAGAGATTTTTTTACTTAGTGAACAATCATTTTCTTGTTGAGGCGGGTATGCTGCAAGTTATCAATTTTTGACCTATGTACTTAGTAGGTAATCTCAGTTTCTATTTGAAATTCCATTCAAATCAATTACTTGAAAATAATCTAAACAATGTTGTACTGTACTTATTTTTTTTAAATCTAATTCTATATTTACAAATTTGGGGGTTTATTAGCAGAAAGTAACTTTTCTATCTATATTGATATACCATGTTTGTTTTTATTTTACTCCATGTACTTAATATCAATTGATATATGGTTGTTTTAACATGATGCATTGTATGTGTGTATATGTATATTTATACACACTTTTTTTTAGGAAGATTTTTCCTTCGTATGTGTTCTATGCAAATTGTGATTAGTATTAGTGGGACCATCCTCCTTCAGGTGACTGTTCTTGTTGAGCTGAGACACTCAGTATTACAAATTCCGTCCTAATGGAGCTTTATATTTTATTATCAATCTTGAATTGTATTGTTTATGTGTGGTATTATTAAATGATAACTTTATTCTGTTACATTTTGACATGTGTCCCTGCACCAAGTCCTCGATAATTCTAGCTAAGATCATAACATCTATCACTTCATTTAGTGTAAAATTCCTTTTTAAAACTTATGAGTACTGATTGGTTATCTTCCCCATTTATTTGCAAGCAGCCAATTTTCGGAAATTGCTGGTGTCCTTAATCCGAGCCTAGAGTGAGTAAGGTCCATGACATTAACACATATTCCCACTGAGGAATGCAAATAACTTTCAAATTGACACATTTGCTTACACTATCTGCACATTGTTGCTTATTTGTTCACCTCTCCTGGCACCTTCCACTACACAATCTCTCTAATGGATTTGGTGGCTTTGGAAATTAAGTGTTTCTCCCATTTCCAGGACTTGTACATAGAAAAAGAGCACATACAAGAATATTTCATCAATGGTACAGTTAAGCTTGTCAGTACAGAATTATTTTTCCACTATCACTTGGTTTAATAACAGAAACAAATCAATTTTGTCTATATCATCAAACTTTTCATAGTAACACTATAGTGTGCACCTCTGTAAGTAATTTTACCAACTTTGCACTAGATAAAGCTTGTGAACCTGCCGCTCTTCACCTATCCTGAAGTACCTATGTAGGGGTGCAGTGGTTTTATGCGGGGAAGACGGTGCTGAGCTTGGTAAAATCTCTATTGGGTAAGTTGGCCTCTTTTTTCCTCTTTGCAATCATCCTCTCTGTGATATAGATTTGTTTTACTAATCTACTAACTGATCCTTCATATGTTAAAGGGTGTGCAATGGTTAGAGGGGAATGGGAGCAATTCCACATTTTCAACAGAGTGTACCTTAGTTCATTGTAAAGGCAACTCATCCTGAATCCTCTGCAGACATTTGAATTTGCTTGTTTTGTTGTTCCTCACAAACTCTGTTCTGTTAGGGCATCAATTTCATTTTTCACAGTCCAGAAAATAACCTTTGATAGGTTCTAAATTCCAAATACACGTGTTCCTTCAAAACTCTAAGCATTTTTGCTTTGTTTTCAGTTTATCTAATTGGAATACTAAAGATCATGTAATGTGTACCTTTTTCCAGAGGCCTGTAGTATCTGCGCAGTCATGGGAGAACCCAACTACATAATTTACTGATCATCTCAGGAACTTCAGACAGAATTTTAACGGCTGAAGTTTTAACTGTTTTCAACACAAGTATATCTTCTTTCTCTATTAAAGCAGTTTATGCTATTGTTTTTGTGTTATGCTATATCCCAATGCATGTTCATACTCTGTACTCGCCTTTTCATCCATTGTATTCTGTATATGCAAATCCTATGTAATCAAATTTATGGTAGTAAGATAGGGACAATTGAGATTGTTCAGTGTGGAAACCGTCCAGTGTCATAAGTAGATATTGTTATTTTGATGTTGTGAAGTAATTGAATATCTCTAAGTATATCATTAGTGTTTCAATAACTGTTAGACTTTATTGTTTTTGTATAGGAGGAATCCGGTAGCATCTTATGTCTTGTGAAGGGGCACATAGTTGTAACTTCAACCATTACAAGTACTTGCAATTTTATTGTTGTTTTAAAGTTGAAATGTTTTAAGTATCAATGTTAATTCTTATTTGCTAGAATGCAATTCTCACCTTGCTTGAAATGTATAATACCAACATGATTAATAAGTGCCATTTATTGAGGAACTGGGTATTTATCTGAAGCTGGTTTAATTGCCGTGAGATTCGTTTCAAATAAAGATGTATGGTCTATCCTTAAAGATGACAAGAAAAGGAAACTGACTGAAACTTTACCAGCCAATTTCTAGCTTGTATTCTGCTAATAAAAGGAAAGCTTTATTTATTGTAAGCAGTTCTATCATAATTATGGATTTATCATAATTGAGACTATTGATTGTCAGATTATGGTTATCCCATCTAAAAGGATTGCAAGATTTTCCAAAGGCACCTTTATAAATTTATTTCCTATCTAGTTTGAAATATTTCTTGTTGCCAATACTAATCTTTTATATTTCCGCAAGAAAATTTGCTGTCAATGGTATAGTTTGGTATCTTGATGGCCTGGAGTAAGATTGTTGTATTGTCTATCCCAGGGAGCTAAAGTCTACAAATTCAAAAAGTTGTGCATCCACACCTACATGCCTTAAAGTTTTGTTCAAAACATTTTATCCACCTGGTATGCATAACTTTGAAGCACTCAATAAAATCCTTTTCAAACTAAAACTACATTTGATTTCCATATTAGCACCATCAACCAGGATTTTTGGAACAATAAAACCATGAACCTTTAAATAATTCATCATATATTTTATTTAAAAAAATTGAGAACTCACATTCTTGGAGCGTATGCCTTCGTTTGAGGCCATAATAATCTTCTAACGTAGTCTTGTTCACTTGTCAAAAATTTGATGAGAAGTGACTCAACTGGCTCATCACTTCTTGCCACTTGTCTCCTCATCGCCGATTTAAAGTCTTCCTTAGCACCTTTGTCCACACCTCGAGTTGATATTCGTCTTTGACTGTAAACATCAAGAACAGTGGAATAAGCTCTACATCCATTCAAGCAAAAAATTATCAAAATCAACATAATATTGTATCTAAATAGAAATAGAAACCTTGTAAGCTGTGTGCTTGATGGGGGGGCTATTTCAAATGCCACAGAACCTTCTTGCTTTGTTGCAAGATGCATAATTTCTTCAAGAATGTCAGTATTTACAATATAATTGGTAAAAATTGGATAAGAAAATGAAGATCTTGAGCGAATATGAGATACAAGTTTAGTCAACAGATCAATAGCGCCGGGCATTGGTTGATTTGTATCTCCTAATTCTAATTGAAGGAGTACGAGCATATTTCCTACACACATGTCTAGCTCAGTAGTTGTGGCGCCACCTCCAGGTGGTTGCGATACAAAATGCTGCTGTAAAAATAACAAAATACAATTTTTAAGAAGTCATCAGGAACGAGTCTTTAAGAAAATTTAAGAATTAACAAACAATACATAGATTAGATTAGATTAGATTAGCAGACTTGCCTGAAGAGCAGATAGGATAAGATGGACACAATACTGAAGGACAGAAGTGCGTGTAAGTGGCAACAAGTGTATATGACGCTGCGAATGGGTCTGCTTAAGGAGATTAGAGGAAAGTGTTCCTCCAACTGGTATACTGCCTAACATTCCAATTATTTGCAATGCTCGATCAACAGCAGCCTAGTGAATATGATAAGATAGATGATTGAATATGGTATAAAAGTTTCCACATACAGTTTCATAAAACAGGGTTGATTTTCTTAAACTCACAGGAAGTTGCCGCAAATAGAAAAACCCAGAGGAGAGGCGCAAATTTTGAACTACAGAAGCATTTACCGACATAGTATTTTGTGTTTGGCTAAGTACTGTTCCTCCAGGGTTCTCAACTTGCAAAAGGTGGGTGACCAACTCGTTCACCTCTCCTCTATAAAGTTGAACATCTTGATGAAAAGCAGATAACCACATATCAACACCAACCATTTGCAGCAGTTTTGTTACTCCTGTTTTAAAATCAAACTAGATTTTAATTGAATGGGCAATAAAATGGACAAAGAAGCATGATGATAGCTTGATGAAAAAATTGCAAAACCTCTTTGAATTGCATCCTTTGAGTTGATCATGCTCCAGCAACGCAGTGCAGTCGTGAGATTTGCCACAACAGATGAAGTGAAAACTGCACGATCTCTATGGGAGCTAGTTGATTGATTACAATTTATCACACCAGAGGATGGGTTTGTAGGAGAACTTCCAGAATTACTTGAGGTGGGTGTATCAACAGTTACAAGAGGCAAAGAATCTAATCAATTAAAAAAAAATTCAAGTTAGTAAATTTCAAAGACTACTTACTGATGGGAAGATATATAAGCAGATAGGACAGACAAATGTATTTACCATCTCCTTTGCGGCGTTTGGGTGGTGGTTCAGAGGTTTCTCGTTCAGGTATGGGCATTACAAATGCCTCCAGCAATACAAGCTGATGCTCACCTTCATAGATATGAATTTGAGTGTCCAATTCTAATACCACATGTTTAATAGTTAACATCAGGAAATATTTCAACTTACCACTCTGAAGAGAAGATGTGTATTCATGCAAACAGCGCATGAAAAAGATTCCTGTACAATAAACATGTTGGCGCACCTCGTGACTTTCAGGATCTAAAGAGTGATGTAAATGCTCATTGTTATTAAGGATTTGCTGCCAATAGAGTTCACGTCCCCTGAAACAAGTTAGTTGGTACACTCTAATCTCATGACACGAACTTTTGTAGATAAATAAGAAAAATTAGTACTTACCATGGTTGACTAAACATTTTTGCCAGATCCCAATTTAACATAAGACCTAATGACCAAAATCCTTGGAAAATTTTTTCCCAGGGATCAGCTTCACTTGAGTCCTAGGAAAAATTATTTAGATAAAAAGTTGAAATCCACTTTACTGGAATTTACCTTGTTAATTATAGAAAAAGAGCTTACTTGAGTTAGTAAACATAACATGTAATATTCAACCAGTTTATGCATTAGTCTATATATCTGCCGGAGTGGAAGTTCAACAGGAATTGGGCTTGAACCCATTAAAGGAACTAGTTCACAAACTGCAAACAAAACAATGAGCATACAGAAACACTCTCAGGCAAAAAAAATAATTAAAAGGCGTAAAAGATAAGATAACAATCTTTAACGTGGAAGAATTTTAAATTTGGATGTACCAACCTAACAGCTTTCGATAACAGTTGTTTGCACTCGGACAATGACTATGTTTCTCTGCTGATAGAAGAGTATCAACAAGTCGGGGCTATAAATTTAAAAGGAAGTAAAATACTGTATTACGGCAAATTTAGGATAGGGGATTGTCTTTTAAACTATCAAAAGGGGGGTTGCTTTCCTATAAAGCATCATGCAACTTACACCATGTTTGGCTACTGCATGTGGAAAACGCGAGAGAAGAATCATCAGAAGACGGCAGTGCTCCATAGTATCCTTACTACGGTCTGCTGTCACCTGTAGTAGTTGTTGTTGGGCATCTACAAATTTTCACAGAATTAATACTCATTTCAAAGCAGAAAAGGTTAAGATATTTCAATTGATACTATTTAACAAAAGATTAACCTGTGGATAAATTTGCAAACATTGCTCGAAGAAATGAAGGCTCAGATTCTGCATTGTCTGACCGCAATGCACGTGTAAGTAATTCAACTTCATGCCAAAGCTTATTATCACCTTGAAACTGTTGAAGCCTGCCAAAGAGAAATAAGAAATGAACATGTAAAAAATAATATATACATTTTTTGGGGGGGAAGAGCAGTACTTACAAAGTCTCAAAACATTTGGCAGCTTCTTTTACATTTTTAGCAGACTTTACAATGTTATAAGCCTCAAACTGAAATAACAATAAATCCATGTTAGTAAAAACTATTTGTTTTACTGACAACAAAGATTAAAGAGACATTGCAGTAGTGAGTATCACAAAACTGTTTGATGCATGTTTAACGTCAAACACATCAGGTCAATTTACCTGGACTGCGAAATTATTTGGATACAAGGTTTTAGCAGTTAACATCCATGCTTTGGCTGCATGTGGGTCGATTGTAAATGCCTGCTTAGCTCTTAATACTAAGTAATCTTCATCTGACAACATATGAGCTTCTGTTGAAGATGGGGCCATTGTGACAGGCATCCGGAGACCGGCCACAAACTTATATTCGTCTTATACAGCTTACTCCGTCAATTACAGATACATTTCAAGAAAATTGGTCAAATCACATGATAGAAACGAAGCCAGGAGTTCAGTCATAGGCGATCATCCATTATTCATGGTCACTTAAAAGAGATAAATGTTAGGTTTATGTAAACAAAATAAGCAAAGCAGAATGTAGGAACATAGGAACATAGGAACGGGGAACGGAGTGAATATTTGCAGGTAGCGCTATTCGCAGTTATGAGAATATGGGAAATTTCAAGGTATTTTATTCTTTTACATGAGAAATTTTGCATCTGAAAAGGCAGTAAGGGCGGTGAGCGGACACCAAATGACCACTCGAAATCTGAGTGACTGTCGTGTTTGTTGTGCGGTGCCCGTTGCGGCTGATTCGAGTTCCTGTATAGTTTGACTGGATTCAACTCTTCTATTTTATGTAACATTTGGAAACAACGTTACTGGCACTTAAGAAATACAACCCAGATTTTAAAAATGCCAAGCTTCAAAGGTGAGCTGTTTAGTCTAGTCGATAAAGATGAGATGCCGAGTTGTTAACCTCACTTTTGTTCACCCCCGGCTGTTAACTTATTGCTACAATGGTTTCAATATATTAATTTTTCACCGTGTGTAATTTTTGTATGTTCAATGTCTAGTACTTCGTAAACATAGCATCCAAGACCCATATCAATCTCTCACCGTCAGAGTGCCTTTTTTTCAAATAAAAAAAGAAAAAAGTCATGGTCCTTTCAATGAATTTCCATGTCATCCTCCTATCTGACTGTTGTGAGTTTAGTTATCTGTGGACAAGAAGTGAGCTTCATCGTTGTTCAGCATCAAATGCCAACCTCCCTTTTGTTTGGAAAGCACCTCCCATTCATTTATTTATTTCATTGATCATATATTTATGTTACCTATCTCATTGTTGAAGTTTTTCTCCTGCTACTTGTTTGTTTATCTTTGTGTTTTTAAGAATTTTTTTATTTTACTTTTTGCAGTTAAAGTAAAATGGGGAAAGGAGATGTTCCCCGATGTGGAAGTGAATACAGAAGAAGACCCGCTGTTATTCAAGGCGCAACTGTTTGCTTTGACTGGTGTTCAGCCCAACCGACAGAAGGTTATGGTAAAGGGTATGACTTTAAAAGACACCGAATGGGGAAATCTACCTTTGAAAGATGTAAGTGTCTTAGACTAAGTTCTCAATTACTCAAATGTTATTTTAACATGATGCTTTGCAACCTGTTGTATATTTTTTTAATTAATTACAGGGTGTCATGGTCTTATTAATGGGCAGCAAAGAAGAAGATGTGCCCTCTGAACCTGCAGTGAAACCTGTTTTTATGGAAGACATGAATGAGTCTGAACTTGCTACTGCTGTAGGTTTTTTTCTTCTTAGTGCCCCAGATTGAGGTATTTCAGATCATTTTAAATATAAATTCTAAACGTTTCAGATGGATCTCCCTGCTGGATTAACAAACCTGGGAAACACCTGTTACCTTAATGCTACTGTTCAGTGTCTTAAGACTGTACCTGAACTCAGAGATGGTCTTCAATCCTTTGAAGCTAGTAAGTAACAGTAATTACTTTTTATCAGTCCTTCAAGTTATTGATTAGTTGGTTAAAATGAAATGATGTATTCTCTCATTAGGTGTTGGAGGTGGATCTTTTGTCCCTTCCCAATCAATAACAGTTGCCCTGCGAGATTTGTATGCTATGATGGACCGAGGGGCATCCTTTTCTCCTCTTATTCTTCTCCAAGTCCTTCGGTTGGCATTTCCACGCTTTGCTGAGAAGGGGGCAGGAGGAGTTTACATGCAGCAGGTAATTTTTGCCTTTAGACTTTTACTTACTTTTGCTCAATGCGAGGCTCATTGTGTTATTTGTTTCCTGACAGGATGCCAATGAATGCTGGACTGAACTTGTACGCATGCTTCAGCAGAAGCTCCCATCAAAGCCTGTTGAAGGTTCAAAATATCAACCAAAGTAAGCTGTCCTCTTAGTTGTCCGCTTTATGCTTGTTGTCATCCTCTACCAACCAAACACATGTCTCTATTTCAGGTCTTTGATAGAGCAGTACTTTGGAGGCCGATTTGATGTTGAATACAAATGCAATGAAGCATCAGAAGAAGAACCAACCCGCTCTGAAGAAGATTTCCTGCAACTCAGTTGCTTTATTTCCCAAGATGTGCGCTATATGCTGTCTGGATTGCGATCTGTAAGTTTTTTATGTTGCACAGCGAAGGTCTTCGTATTTGCTTCACATTCTGTGTAGATCAGAGATATGTCATTTTATCTTCTATTCTAATTTTTTGTTTGATGTATTTGTAGAAACTTCAAGAACATATAACAAAGAACTCGCCAACACTTGGAAGAGATGCAGTGTACACCAAAACTGTAAGTGATTTTACCTTCCTTACTTTCCAAAAATCCATCAAGGTTTCAGCTCACTGATTATTGTTTGCTTGCATTCCAGAGTAAAATTAGTAGATTGCCTGCTTATTTGACTGTGCAATTTGTTCGTTTCTATTACAAAGAAAGGGAGTCTGTAAATGCAAAGATCTTGAAGGATGTCAAATTTCCCATGGAATTTGATGCTGTTGAACTGTGCACTCCAGAACTTCAAGAAAAGCTTACACCAATGAGAGATCGCTTTAAGGTAAGATTTAATCAATTATAAACTTGCTATTTTCATTTAAGATTTCTTTTTCTATCTACTTATACTAATTTGCTTTTCCTCATAGCAATTGGAAGACAGAAAAGTTGAAGAACAACTTAACCTTAAAGACAAGAAGGCTGGCGACAGTAAGGTAAAAACAAGGAAAGAGCCCTATTGGCTAGAAAATGACCTGGGCTCCAACAACTCAGGATACTACACTCTTCAAGCTGTGTTAACTCATAGAGGGCGTTCATCATCAAGTGGTCATTATGTTGGGTGGGTACGACAGAGTGATAACACCTGGCTGATGTGTGATGATGACAAAGTCACACCTGTTTCAGCTGAAGATATTTTGAAACTCTCTGGTGGTGGGGATTGGCATTGTGCATATGTACTACTGTATGGTCCTCGTATCATGGAAATTCCTGAGGGCATGGATTTGAGTTCCTCTACAGCTGAGAAGGTGGTAGAAAAAATGGAAACTGAAAACTCCAGCAATACTCAATAATTATGATTATTTTTTAACTTAAAGTATTTTGAGCATTTTAACATGAAATAAATTTGCACTCTTATTTCTTTGATCTTTTTAACCAGTATATCGATATAATGCTCAAATTTCCTGGGAGACTACCACTCAGTGTGAACTTACCAACCTGCCTGTACCTTTTTCTGTAATAAAATGAATTCAAGAAATTGCACAAAATTGTTCAACTCATCAAATTCTCCTCGTCCCTTTGTTAAATGGAAAGACGTGTGGTTTCAGAAAAGATTAATTAAATCTTTTGCCGTCAAAAGTTTATTTTTTTATGTAGTCGGCATACCGTGGTGAGCCCGGATGAGCCGCTTCTGTTATAAGTGGTTGTAAGAGGTGTGAAGTCCGAAGATCGTGTCCAGCGTGTCGATCTGTCAGGATGGTTGAGTGGGGAAACAAGCAGCCCCTTCGACCGCCGAGTGAAGCGGGCATGCCCACCTCCCCGGCGCTGTGGGCCTGGGTCCGGTCGGTGGGCGGGGCCGCGGCCGGCGCTTCGACCCTGACTTTGGCAGGCTCCGGTCGTATTTTTAATTCGGGCTCCGGGTCTGGGTGACACCGGTGACGCGGGTCGGACAGTATCTACGACCGGCTGGTCGGGGGCTTGCTTCCTTGCGCAATGACCATTCTTCTTCCCCCTTAATTTTATTATATGGCGGTTGGTCGCCCGAAAGTGCCTTCCAGTCGAGGGAGCACACGAGGGGGAAAATAAACAAGACGTACTCCCAAGAATATTGTTTTCAAAATAATATTCCCGAAAAAGTTTTCTGTGTGTGCAAGGCATACAAAATCCTAACGGGTGTCCATCCGAGGACATGACAGTGCGATGTGTTGCGTATGCAGGCGCGGTAGTTGGGGAAGTGGCAGCTCCCCCACCAGTCCTCTCCCCTGCCAGCACCGTGCGTCCACAGCCCCTGCAGCCAGTGCATAGGCAACACATCGTACTGTCATGTCTTAGCCTGGACACCCGGTATACGAGTACAAAAATGTTTTTTGCTTTCTAAAGAATCGCGATTGTCAAACAAGACTGAGATCTTGGTGAGATCACCCCCCTCCCTCTCCTATACTGCCTGTGCTTGCAATTTAGGACCTAGAGTCTATCTCTTTAAGATCGGTCGAACGAACGAACGAACAATCGAACGGCGGGACAATTGTAATTGAGCTTATTAAAGAACGGCAAATTAACGGTATTTAATATCTCCCTCCAATATTGGCAGTAAATGAGTTGGGAAGACAGTCTCCGAATTCACGCGCCTGTACACCGAGAATATGTCTCTGCACACAAGTGTCAGTACTTGTAATGAGCAGCAATTCCGTCACTTCCTCCACCTTCAAAATGTTATTTAACATAATTTGCATCGAATGCAAAAGCTTTTATAGCTTTCTTTACCCGCATCCCACCGTTCGATCGTCCGTTCGTTCGCAGTTCAGCCTATCCCACAGAACAGGGGCTTGGGCGATCTGCTGCTGCTGCTGCTGGTCAGTGTCAGTGTCAAGGCAAACTCGCAGCCTCTCAAGTTTAAGGACGACCCCCAACCGGTTATTCCGCCGGCCGGCAGGCATTACCGCACTGCAGTCTGTCTGCAGAGCACTGCAGGGCAGGCACGCACGCCTGCCTCACCGTGCTCACCGCGACCTGCCCTGCCAGCCCTGCCGTTGCCCTCACCTGACATCGTCGTGTGTCTAAGGTCCTATAGACACCCAACAAAAGAACAGAGAGTGGCTGACCTCACATCCTACACCACAGAGGTACTTAACACTGCTAATTTTGGAAAGAGTCTGTCACCGTGGGGCAGGGGCGGCACGCGGCACCTCCTCGTCTGTCTGCCATGGCACGCTGCTTGGCACGCCGGCTATTTTCAGTTCTCCGATCTGGATCTCTGGATTCTGGATGCCCCGACAGGCGTGCCTACCGCCCTGCCACGCCCGGGGCTGAACCTCCGCTCCGGGAGTCCACAGCATCCTCTTGCCGGCGTGCTGGGAACAAAGAGTGGG